TTCTTTTAATTAGCCAATCCTTCATTTAATCTCTTAATTTCATCTCCTGCTCTTCTCAAAGTACCATTATCACTATCTTCTCTATCTTAACCTTCTGTCTTTACCAAATCATAAAGTTTTGGTAAATCATTTTCTAATGAAGTTGTTATATTTTCAATTTATTCTTGTCTAATTTTACTTTCTGTTTAAATATCTGATTTTAAATAAACAACCTAATACTATTAAGGATTATTACTTTTTCATCTAAATAACCTTATAATTTTAGATTTCCATCTTTTCTTATTGAAATTTCTTATTCTAATTTAGTCGTTATACGACTTTCAAAAGCAGCAATTTCTCTCACTCTTTATTCAAACTATGCTTCAAAAACATTGTTTTCTTCTTCTATTTATTTTTATAATCTCACAATTTCATCTTTTAGGGAATGCTAAAATGATATGAAATTTATACCAATTTTCTGTTATAGGATGTAATAGTATCTTGAATTCTTTCTTCAACACCAGATACTCGGCCACAAATAACATCAATACGATGAGCTTTGGAACTATCATGGTGTAATTAAATGGAGCTGAGTTTTTCAGAAATTTTAGCAAATCGTTCGTTGAATGGTGTATTTGGATTCATTTTATTTATTTTATTAACAAAATTTATTTGTATTATTATGAATAAATAACAGTATAATTACCATTATAGTTTTAAATTTATCATAGTAGGTGATTCTGGAGTTGGAAAAAGTTGTTTACTCTAATAATTCACTGAAGGTTAATTTAAAAACAATATTGATTCAACAGTTGGAATAGGATTTGGATAGAAGGATGTAATTTATAAGGATAGTGTGATTAGAGTAAATATATGGGATACTGTAAACTTCTTAATATTATTTAGGCAGGTTAAGAATCATTCAGATCAATTACAAGAGCTTATTACAGAGGGTATAGAAAATTAATTAAATAATTAGATCAATTGCATGTTTATTAGTTTATGATGTGACCAAGAAAAAATCATTTCATCATCTTATTAATTGGTTTAATGAAGTGAAGTAAGATTCATAAGCAAACATAATAATCGTTGGAAATAAAATAGATTCATGGGGAAGAGAAGTGTCTTAAGATGAAGGTTAATAATTAGCTCAATAAACAGGATCTTTATATTTTGAAACATCTGCAAAAACAGGTGAAAATGTTATTCTCACATTTGAAACACTAGTATAAAAAATTTATATGAAAATTAAGAATAAGGAAATTGATATAGATGATCCATAAAATGGAATTAAATTGGGTATGATGACTGAAATATAACCAGTCATTAATCAATCTAATTCAAATTAGAATTCTTCATGTTGCTGATGAACCTTTTTCATTTTTATTTTAACAAATCATTTAATTTCAGAATTTCGCCAAATAATAGAATAAAAGAATATCTTTTATTTTTATATAATATTACTACTCTTTGGAAGCCAATATTTTTTCTCTATTAATCTTATTAAAATTAATAAAAAAAGCTTTAATATTTATAATTATTTAGCTCTATTGCTCATTTGTAATGGGCTCTATCAATTTATCACCTATTTAATTATTAGCTTGAAAATAAATTATAAAAATTGAATTATAAAAGTTTATATTATAAGTTTTATTGATTCCCCTCATCTTTAAGGGTATTTTAATTGTATTTCTAATTGACTTTCTGTTAAAATTTTTAATAATTCTTTATTGTTTTTATATCTGTATATATTGATCTAAATCTATTCTTTTTTATAATCAGGTTTATTGGTGTATTTTAAATAATTAGTCTTATCTAAATTACTCCTCAATTTTAATAAAATCAGCAAGAGTTAGATCTTTAGACTTTCTTGCTCTCTTATTTTCAAATTTTTTTTTCATCTAAAATTTTCCTTAAATTCAGCCACGACAAATAATAATATAATGATTAATAATTTAAATATCTTTAATAGACAATCATTTTTACATAACATTTTACTAAAGATGAATAGAGTTTGTATCAATCAATATCCTATTTTAAGATTTCAAATCTAATTTCTCCTTTCCTATTTTTATGATAACAAATCCTTATTAAAATATTTCGAAATATTCTCTTAAAATCTGTTATAAAAAAGGTTTTTGTATCCCATTATAGCTTATAAACATTTCTCATATTCTATCTAAAGAATACATATGATCATTTATTACCATTTTAAGGATTCCTACTAAATTCTTTTTTGTGAAGTTATTTATTTTTAGTTTTCTCATTTATTAATTTACATAAAATAAACTGTTTTATTACATATTATGAAATTATAAAAAAGATTTTAGATGGAAAGTTAAATCTTTCTCATAGAATTACTATTTGTATAATTATATTTTTTAAATACTAAAAATAAATAATTGAGAGATTTTTATCTTTAGTTAAAGTTGAGAATAGAAATAATTTTTTTAAAATTTAATAGAATTTTATTTTTCAAATCTGTAAAAAAATTAGATATCTTTGTAACAATTTTAATTTTGTAATTAATAAAAGAATAAATAAAAAAATACAAACTAAAAGTATTCTATTTTTATAAATGAATAAACGCTGATTTTGATTTTATAATCATCAATCATTTTCTAAGCAACGAAAATCGAGTTTCATCGTATTTAAAATTAAATCAAAATTCCTAAAATATATAAGAAATAAATTTATATACTTGGCGATATTAGTAGAAGAATGTGACATTTAGTTATCGAATTTTTGTTCATATAATTTCACAATAATTTCTTTCAATTTTTAAATTTATGAAATATAAACTTTTTCCTCCCCTTAATTAATTTAAATTGATTTAGTTTATGGTTTGGTTGAAATTTAGTTCATTTTAACTTATCTTGTTTTTTCCAATAAAGAACTTTATTTCATTTTTTATTATGATGGAGTTTGGGGAACTAAAATTGTTTATTATTATTATTACCATCTGGTATAATTTCTTGAGACATTTTCATATTAATTTATTTAGATTAAACAGCTCTTTTTTATGCAATTTAATTAGGAGTAGATTAAGGTTAAATTTTTGAAGTTTAAGGCCTTATAGTTGGATTATTCTTTTTTTAGACAACAGTTTGATTATATTGAGAATTATTTTATTAATTTGTATGAGATAATAAATTGGCATCTTTAGAGTAGACAACTGATTTTTTTTTTTCATTATTTACTAAATATATAAAATTAGAAGAATACCTTAATCTTTAAGAGATGTTTTACTATTACTAGGAACTTTTGTAATTCCTTTTTAATGATTGTTTGTTGGAGCTGTAGAAATTGATTCTTAAAATTATTATTATTCATCTTCTTCTAATATTTAATGAGGCTATGTTCCTAATTAAGTTTAATGACTTTCATGTTCAGGAAATTCATCTTAAAATTAGAATGTTATTTACGTATGATATTTCCTGCTATTGTTCCTTAATTCACAGAAACAGAATGCATTTTTTATTGTTTCCATGTATTTATTAGATTATCTACATTTTGATTTTACTGTCTAAGATTCAAGACTTAAATAGAAATAGTATAATACATTTTTCTACGGATTAAGATTATTTTTCACTATTTCTACTACTTTTAACTTCTGTAATATTGATTCCATTAGTTTATTATCTGTCAGAAGATTAATAACGAGTTCTTTATGATGTTTAAGCTAATTTTTCTTTAAGTTATTCTAATTCTTCGAATTTAGCAATGTAGTGATTATTTATCATAGCAGACATATAAATAATAAATTATTTAAAGTTATAAGTGTATTTATAAATAAAATAAAATGAATAATATCATTTATTGAAAGCATTCTTGACTTTATCGAAAACTCCATCCTTTTTTGATGTTTATTCTTAGGATTGAACTTTTTCTTATTATAAAAATCAATAATAATATAATACTTTGGCTAAATTAGAGAATATTGCTTTTTATTTATCATTTAATTTATTTGGTATTTATATATTGAAATTGATGATTGAATCACCTTTTTAATTTTAATTGTGTTCCAATTTATTAATTCCCTTTAATATTTTTTAATAGAATATAAAAAGCCATCAATCTCATTTTTTCTACATCTTTATTTATCTTCATTTAAAGTTTTAACTTTAATTGTATCTCCTAAAACAGCTTAAATAATAGAAATATAAGCATTACTAATTAAATCATAACCATCTCTTTTATAATATATTTAGTACCATTACAACTAGTGTAATTACCTATTTTCTCAAATTAAATTGTCTACTGTGAGATCCTTAAACACTATCCATGTATTAAATTTCCATTTAAACATATATATCAGCTTCTTTAAAACTTCTTTCACCTTCTCCTCCCATATTAAACAAAGATGCAAAATCACCAAATATTGATTAATCTAATTCGAAATCTTATCCTCTACCTCCTTTTTTTCATAATCTAAAAATACTCCTATATGCTGCAAAAGTATCTTATGCTCAAGCCTATTATTTCTGCAAACTTCTCTTATGCATCTTGTGATGGATTTTCATCAGGATAAAATTTCTTGCAAATCCATAATATGCTTTTATAATATCATTTTAGGAGGCATTTCTAGGTATATCCAATTATTAATCTGCTTTTGTATTAATATAATTGAATAACGAATTCTACTTTGGGCCATGAGGATTACAAAACTTTCATTTATTTTTCAATTTAAAAACATTTAATATTGATTTCTAAATTTTTAATAATTTTTTTAAGGTATCTAATGATAGAATTTCTTTTTCTTTCTGCTAATTGAGTCAAATTTTTATTAACTTAAAAAAGTTTTAACATTATTACAATGAGATCTATTCTATTATGTATATATAATCTATTTCAATTCTTTATATTCAATAAGAAGTGTATCCATTTGTGTTTCAAAGATTCTCTAAAGTAAAATTAGTTTTGTTTCTGAATACTTTAATAAGACTTATTATCATTAGACAATAACATAAAAATATATAATTTATTAATACATTAATCTAAAAAATATTAATATGGAGTGTATCTTTTATCGATTTTAAAAAGATGGGTGATTTTAAAAGAACCTAAGTTTTGTGTCTAAATATTATTCTATAATGCTAACTTTAGCTCTTGAATAACAATTTGTTAAAGTTTTTTAATAATTAATCTATTTGTTCATGAAGTTTTTAATGATGGATTAGTTTTTTCCATTCAATATATTAATAATTAAAAAGATGTTGTCTTACTATTATTTTAAACTTTACAATTTGTTTATAGAGGTTGAGTTTGTGTTGTTTAATTTGATTTAGATTTAAATAATTTTATATACGGTAAATTAAATAAATGGGAATAAAAAGAAAGAGAGTGATAATGCAAGCAGGATCTCTTTTAAATCCAATATTTAGATATGTGTTAAAGATGAATTTCATTGCCAATCCAACAGATGTACATGGAACAAGATTATTAAGGTATATTAAATTAATTATATATAGACATTTACAATATTCAACAATGAATTTGAATAAGAAATTACATCAGCCAAATTTCGAATCTACTTATAGAGAATCAGTAGAATGTATTTCTAGTAAATGGGAAATAAAATTTGGTATATAGTGTAATAATTTTAAGTAAATGGATGGGAAAGGACATTCTATATGAAATATGCAGATATGTCTACATTATATCAAACAATTAGGCAATACAATTATTTCATTGAAGGTTAAAGAGCTCTTCAAGGTGAAGATGATGAACCAGATGATACCTTATTACAATATTGAATAAAATATATTAGAGAATTATCAGTGCGGAATTTATTATATTTCTTTTAATATTCATGACACAAGTGCTTTAGAACTTATAGATACCATTGATATAGCAAAAGCTTATATTATACTGAGAGGTGGTCTAAAATCTAAATTAAAACTATTTGACTCCATCTTTCCATGCAATAATTATATCGTTTTATCATCTCCTGCTTTTATTAATTAAAAGTTACGAGCTGATGCAATCTTTGCTCGTCTAATATTTTATTATTTATAAAATTACCCAAAAAAATTTAGTTAATAACAATCCTTTTCCTAATTATAATGTGGTCTTAATGTAACTAATTCTAATAATTAATTAAATAAAATAAAATACCTTCCCATTCTTTTGTATCTAGATTAAGAAAAACAGTATCAAAATATCTAGGTTCATTTGCCATAATATTTGTTTCATATTCAATTTTCATTAATCTCCTTCTCTTTTATCCAATCCATTCTGGAAATTATAATTAAAGAGATTCTGGATATCCATCATCATAAACAACCATAGATGTTCCCCAAATATTTCTTTCTACACATCCTAAATATGAATCATTATATTTTTGATATTTTTCACATTTGTTATCAAATATATGAATTTCTGCATGTGCTTCTAATTATATTCCATATAAATATTATTATTAATCACTCTATTTTTTAATGATATAGATGTGTGGATATTCTGATTCTTCTGTTTAATCAGGTATGTCAGCATTTCGTAATACTTGAAATTGAGTGTATTCATGAATAGGTTTAAAAACTTAAGCCCTATCCTTCTCATATTGTTTATACAATGGATACAGGAACGTTGTATTAATTTTAAATGAAAAGTTCTTATGATTAACACGAATAATGTTAGGCCTTTCAATTGATAATTATTTTAGGTTTTAAACAACATCTGTTAATAATGGATCGGTTATTTCCTTTAAGATTCCATTGTAATAGTATAATATTTATTTTACTAATCTATGAATAGAACAACAAAATATCAGTACTTGTACATATACATTTAGTATTTAGATTCATAATGGACAGTTACTAATAATAATTTCATGATAATTTCTAATGTAGGTTTCTTAGTTAATAATTTGAATGCCAAATCTTATGCAATTTCATCATTAAATAGACATCCACAAATCAAAAGACCATATTAATTTTTAAGATCTTATTACTAAAGCAACAATTAACATTCAGTTGGTTTTTCTCTAATCTTAAAGAATTCAAAATATAATAATAAATCTTATTCTTCAGGCAGTCTTATACCATTAGATCCACATACAGGCATCTTAATTTATATCTCACAAATACTTTAATTAAATCTTGTTTCTCTATGTAATTCTATTTCAATAGTTTAATCTATTAAACAAGTTATCTCTCTACAAATACATTATATTCTTTTTTCATTCCCAATTCCTCATTTTCTATATTTCTATAATATAACATTTACCTATCACATCATCAAACACAATATCGATCTCATTATCTATAGTATCATCTCTTAATTCTTTTTGAGCGACAAACTAAGTATATTAATATTCTAAATACTTCTGGAGTAATTGTGCATTTCACATAAATTTAAACAAAGTTTTCATTTGATAATAAAGGCACTTTTGAATTAGCTGGTTTATCCTCTATTTATTAATCAATTTGAGGTGCACCAAACAAACTTTTCTAAAATCGCTCTTCTCTTTATTGTTATAATAACTTTAGATCTATTTGTTATTTCATAAAATTTATTATATAAATTAATAAAATAAAATAAAGACAAATATTTAATCAGATGTCTCCATTCTCTGTGGTCTATATCCACGCAGTATTTATCTTATTATAATCCCAAGTCATCTCAAATATATTCCTCATCTGAATTAACTTGAAACTATCTATTCATTGTTGTTGTGGATCCATTTAACCACTACGGATTATTAGACATCCATTCGTGTGGTTGATGTATATAATACATTAAAACTTCATTCTTATATCGTAAATATTCTTCAGGATTCTAACTTTCTCCTCTTAAAATCATTGCTGTTGCCTTAGTTTTTAAATACCATAGTAAATATTATTTAAAAGCTTATTTCCTATTCCTTACTAATAGATCATCATCCTTCAATTAAATTAATTGATCTCTCAGAACTCTATAACCAGTAATTAATTCCAATTATCTGTTATAATATATACTTAATTATTTGCTGTCATCTACCAATTCCGATATGTATGCTATACAATCTTAGTCATTAATCATTGATTTTATTGCATGTCTCAAAATATTTCGGCAAATATTCTTCTTATAATCATTTAAATTTCTATCCTTAGATTATTTCTTTATTTTTTTATCAAGCTTTTTTCTACCAACCTTCTTATTATTTATTTCTTTATTATACTCTTAAACCGGATTAACAATAATTGTTGATTGTTATTCAAAATCAATAAAGAATGAATCACTCCTAAACAAACTTAGATTCTATTAGTTTTTTTTATTATTTTCTTCAATATTTTAACTATATTCATTAGAAGATTCTAAATCAATCAAATAATCTGATGACATGTTGATTTGGATATTTTTTATTTAAATTACTTAATTCAATTTATTTCATTTATTTTTAAACACATAATTCTTAAATAATCATTGATGAATTCCGATCCAATAATGAACCTTTTAACCAATATATTATATATAGTATTTATTCTTTTAACTTAGATTTAAAGATGTTTTTTTTATTCCTCTTTTGTCAATTTTTAATGGTATTTAAATAAATTTCAACCTATCGATTGCTTGATGTAAAATTTTATAATAATAATTGTCTAATTAACTAAAATCAATATACAATATTATTTATTTGATTGATAATTTTGATAAATAATTATTTATATGGGATCTTGTACACTCAAATAGCCACATATTTAATAAAATATAATAGTGGGAAAACAATTCTCTTGTGATGAATAAAATGAAGAAACTTAAAATAATTGTTAACCACCAATAATTATAAATATTGAGAATATCAGACTAAATACTGCTTCTGAAGAATGTGATATATAAAAAAAAATACATCATTTACATGTTACAAAAATGCAGCCTTCAACATTTCAATCTAAAAAACCTATAACTTTGCACAGTAAAGATGGTCTAGAACTTTAGATCAATTTATAATTATCAGGATATGGTTTGATTTAATTCGATGATGGCAGTCATTATGAAGGGTATTTCTAAGAAGGATTAATTCATGGCTTTGGTAGATACACAGATATTGATAATAACATATATATTGGTGAATGGTTTAAAAATAAAAAATAGGGCTATGGTAAAGAAGTTGTGATAAGTATCTATATGCATTATTATAGATCAATATACATATCAAGGATAATTTGTTAACAATTTAAAACACGGTAAAGGTTATGTTCAATATGAAGATGGCACCAGTTATGAAGGTTAATTTGAAAATAATAATTTGAATGGATATGGTGTTTATTAAGGAGTTAATGGTTTAAAATATGAAGGGTAGTGGCTTGATAATTAAATGGAAGGTTAAGGAAAGTTAACATTATCTAATAAATCAGTATATGAAGGATCTTTCAAATAAAATAAAAAGTATGGATATGGAATTTACACTTGGACTGATGGAAAATAATATAAAGGGAATTGGAAAGATGATGTTTAAGATGGAGAAGGAGTATTAATTAGATAGGATGGTTAAACTATTCAAATTAAATATCAAAATGGTAAACGAATTGCATCCAATCTAAAAATACTAAGTCCAATCAGTTTTGATTGAATTTTAGTCTTAGCAGAACTTAACTTAATTTATATTTAATTTTTGTACTGTCTATATTTTTATACTATTTATTATTACAAAAATACCTTATATATTTATATATAAATATATAAAAACAGTGTTTTGAAATAATTTGAAATTGATATTTTCATTTCTGTATTTTAAATTTGTATATTGTTCTTCATTCATGTTTAAAGTTTGAATAAGAGGTCTATATTTTATAGATTATTAAAGGAAATAAATATTAATAGCTTCACTGTTTATTCCTCTTCATAAATATGATAAATATTGTATAAGAATTTGATAAACTATTTATTTAAGTATATCTTAAGTAAATATTAGAGAAGGATAGTTGGAAGTTATAAAAAATTTAATAATTATAAAATATTAAATTTATAAATAAAATAATTTTAATTAATAAAACTAAAATTTAGAAAAATATTTATTAATTCCATATGTGTTAGCTTTAAATTATTATCTACTAGTATATTATGATATTATAAATATTCACTCTATAATCAAAATTTTAATTAATATGGCAACTTAAAATGAAGAAAAAGATTTAATAGGATCCATATTAAGTGGTATTAATAATTAACTAATAGCAGATGATGAAATTAAATTGATGCCAGCTTTATATAAGAGAAAGAAGATTTTAACACTCAAATCAAAAGAATTTAATCCTGAATAGTATTCTATGTAGAATGACATTCCAACTTCAAATGCTAGCATCATTTCAACAGGATAAGTTTCATAATAGAAATAGCGAATATTTTTTCATACATAAACATCTATAGAAATGTATTTATTTATATATAATAATCTAAATGTAGACAGTCTTAACTATCTAGTGTTTTGATCTAAACTGGAGAATAAGAATTTAATAGTTCAGGAGAGCATTTTTTATGTATCAATATCTCATATTTTTGAATAGCATTTAATTCATTAGAAAAACTGTAGCTGAAATAAAAAGCTAAAAAGCATCTGACTATGCAACCATCAGAATAATAACATAGTTAATTTTAGTTTAAAAGTGATTAAAGTATTGATGGGAAATTATAACTTAGTTAAATGGATCTTGTAAAATTTAATTATTAAAAATTCTTAGGAATAAATATGTGGCAATTAATTAATTAATAGAAAATTATAAAATGCTTTGGATAGTAATGATCGCTATTAGAAAAAACTCATTTTTTATCAGGTTGAAAAAATATGCTTAAAAGCAGCAAAGGATATGTTTGGTAATTATACAGTCTAAAAAATATTTGATGTTGCAGATTATGATTAAAAATTTAAATTATATTCTCTCTTGATCTGTCATTTCTTGGAATTGTCATAAAATTAATATGCTTGTAGAGTTATTTCAAAAATTATAGAATTCGTAAAGTAAGCTTATTACTATACAAAAGAGATTTTCCTGAATTAATGGAATCCTTTTTCAAAACAATATATCCCCTTATTAAATAACTATTAAATGATATAAATGGTAATTATGTACTACTGTCATGTTTCGAGATTTTGGACAAATAAACATTGCTGTTTATCATACCATATATTGAAGAAGGAGTATATTCATTTAAATAATTTAAGATTATTAATCTCTCTAAGTAGACTTATGGTTGTAGATTAATATAAAAAGTATTAGAGTTATATCCTTTAGAAATAACATAACCAATCTTAGATATATTAATATCTTTCGCATATTAATTATGTTATTAGGAATTCGGAAATTATATCATTTAATTTCTTTTAAAGAGTGGACCATAAAAAGAAAAAATAATACTTTGCCAAATTATTAAAGATAATTTCGAATAATTAAGTATTAATAAGTTTGGTAGCAATACTGTTGAAAAGTATATTGATCTTATGGGACCTTCGTAAATAATTAAGAATTTATGCAAAAAATAAACTGATTAGTACTTTTATTAAATAATCTTAGATTTGTATTTTATAACTTATCTATCCATCCTTTTGGAAATTATGTTATCAAAAAAGTTCTGATTAGTAGAGATCCATCGGTTCATTATCTAAAACAATTATTTAAATAGCATCCAGATCTTATTCAATAAATTAAAAACTCAGAATTCGGATAAAGAGTTGGTTTAATTTTTGATACTGTATGAGTGCCATATGATTGTAATAGTAACTTGCTTAAGAGTTTTTATTCTATTCAAATATAAATTAATAATCAAATATTCAAGATTATATTCTTAAAATTGTTTGTTTTTCATCTACAATTATACTGGTATAAATGATTGAATAAAACTTCATTTAATTATTATATTCTTGATATCTTTTATTATAATTTTATTTGTTTTGTTTTTCAATTTATACAAAACTATTCATTACCTTTTTTATATATATTTTATAATCATTCAATAAATTAGAAACACTTAAAATAAAAGAATCATTTCGAAATCTTTTTTAATTTGATTTTTCAATTCTGCTAGTTTAACTTTTTAATTATTTTATTTAATAGACAAAAATTAAAATTATTTGAAAATAACTAAACGAAAAAAATAAATAGTCAATTCATCAAAATAGCGAAAATATTAAAATATATTGTTATTTAATATCTTTATAATTAATTCTATTTGCTATGTTACATTTAATAAATATATTGATAGTAAATATTTTTAATTTTATAAATTATAATGTAAATTATTATTTTAGAATTCTATTAATTAAATTCTTCAGAATTTAAAAATATCCAATTTGCATAATGTATTACCATAGAGAGATATAAATTCGGTAAAATGAGAGAATATATTTATTTTAATAATAAATGCTGAACTATTTATATTTAGTTATAATAATGAAGGTTAAGAAATATATTTTTCAATTTATATAACTTCTTTGAAGATTTAGAATAAAAATTATAAGAATGATCGAGTTGGTAATATTAGTTTTAAAAGATATTAATAAAACAAATTTTAGATATCATTTTGATATTTATATTTATTATATATACAAGTCATTTAAAAAATCTTAAATAATGACTCATTATTTATTTCTGAATTTTTTAAGAAGAGTATTAACAAAAATAATAATTTTTCTAGTTTATTTGTAATTTAATCTTGGATCACAAGCAGTAGTGTATTTTTTAGGATTAATATCTTCATCATTTTCAACACATTCACTTACATCATAAGGTGTGCATTCTAAATGTAATCCTGCAGGAATTTCATTTTATTCTTGAAGTATAACAAAGAATTATTAGATTTCATACATAATATCTTCTATTTTTCTAATTTTACGTCCACTTTTATCTTAATTATTTCCATGCATAGGATCAAGAAAGAATGAAATATTTAATTTTTCCTCTTATTTCCATAAAATGATATCTTTCAATTTATCAAGTTTATTTTTTCCTAATCTAATAATAGCAAAAGCTCTTCCATCTTCATTTTTTGGATTAATTAACTTAAATACATTAAGAAATTCAGTCTTATTAATTGTTTATCCAATCTAAATAGATAAAAGATATTTACCTTAATTCCAACAGGATTATAAATACCTTTTATAAAATTAGAATGTGCATGATCATGCAATCTTGTTCTATCTCCTATCCAAGGAAAATGAGTATTAGATAAATAACATTAGTTATCTTAATTTTATTTAACAAAAGCTGATTCATATCCTAAATGCAAGCATTCATGTGAAACCCAAATTTATTAACCATCATATTACTTTAGAGTTTATATACCCTTGTTAGTATAATGTGCTCCCAATAATAAACGTGATGGATCAGGATCTCTTTCATCTTTATTTAATGAATTAATTAAATCTCCTCTATAATTTAATGTCCCATCTTTTTCATGTAGTTATGATCGTGGTTTTGCAAATTATCCACAAATTCTACCAATTACTATTGCATCTAAAATTTAACCCATTCGCTACATTATTTCTTTTTTTTTACATCATAAAAACTAAATTTCTCATTCCAATGTTTTTCAGTACATTCATCAAATACTTCTGCACAATCTCCCAATTACAAAACAAATTTCTCACCTTTACTTACTCTTATCATTTCATTTTTGAAACTATTTATCTCATCAAAATTTAGGATTCCTGGAAGATTTTTTATTTTTTAAAGAGTATCTTAACTAATTTCAAAAATATCATTACTATAGCTAAACATCTGAATATATTGGTAATTATAAAGCTGAATACTTTTTCCAACTATCTAAGCTCCATTCTTTATCTTAATTCATAAATAAATTTTAATTTTGGTTAACAATAGATAACATTTACATTAATATAAGTATTTTTATAATCTCATTTCATTTCATTATTTACCTTAAATAACTTTAAAGTATTTCTACTTTTTAAATGTATATAAAATTTATAATAATTTATAATTTAATTTCAATATATATACATCTTAAACTCTATGAAAATATTTAACTATTGTTTATTTTATTTTTAAACTCATTAGAAGTTCTTATTTCATTTTAAAATAAAGAAATAAATTATAAAATGATAATTTATTATATCATATAAATTATAAATTAATAATAATTTATAATATATATTCGTTAAAAAATTGATTTAAATTTTTCCAATTATTATACTCTCTACTCCTTTCGACACATTTATTTAATATAATTATCATTCCAATTTATTGATTGTGATCATTATAAGTTATTTTATTGAGTTAAATAATAATATAATACATAAATTAACTAAAAAATGAATTTTAAGTTCTCGCTGAAGTTTAATCACTTTTTGGTTGAAAAATGAAAATAAGCCTTTTATAAATGAGAAAAAGGATTTTGAGTAAATAATAATAAAAAATGATGCTTATACTACTTCTTTTAGTAATTAATCAAGTGAACACCTAAGCAATAGAATCCAAAGGAGTTATTTTAGAATAACCTTAAAGTGAAGATCTTTTTTCAATAATTTTTGAATTTAGATCAACTGAAAAAATAAATAAATTGGATATTTACCTTAACAAACTTAAATGTTTAGAAACTTCAACAGTAATATAATTAATATATAAATTAGATAATACCAATAATCAAAAATAATAAACCAAATCCTTATACATTCGAACTAGATCTTAAAAACAATATTCTAAAAGTCTATTTGGAGATTGAAAAGAATGTTTTTTCATAATAAGAGATTAAGTTTGAAGCTACTTAGTTTTACTATCCTACATACAATTAAACATTAGAATACAATGTTTTATTTGAAAGTAAAGATTCAATTGTTTGTTAAATAACAAGAAATGCAATGTTATTATAATCTTTATAAATTACACAGGAAATATCTATAACACAGGATTATTAAGATTTAAATATTCAATTTATCAATTACTATAAAAACCATCTTTATGATGTTATAGTAATCAAATTTATTCCAACTTATCCATTTGATCTATCTTTTTAATCATGTGAAGGCATTTAAAATATAGGGAAGAATTTAAATTGTTGGAAGAACAACAATAATATATATATTCAGTAAAAACCTGAAGATTTTATAGAAAAAAACAATCAAAACTTAATAAAATTGAAAATCAAAGGTTTTCTTAATCCATATTATATTGGAAAAATAAAAATATTAGTCTTAATATAACCTATTCAATTTCTAGATACATCTATAATTTCTTCATATTTTTATAGTTAATATGAAGTCAAAAGCTAAAAAAATAAATAGGTCTAACTTTCTTAATCAAGTAAATATATTAATTCAATATCATAAATTGAATTAATAATTAATACTTTAAGATTTAATAAATACTTATAATTAGAATTATATATACCAAATTAATCAACTAATGATCTAATTTTTAAATCAAATGACAATAATATGAAAGTTAATGTAATATCTACAGCAAATAAAGAGATTCAATTATTAAAATTAACTATTAATGAACCATAAACTAATTATGATATCAAATTACTCATAGAAAATTATTAAAATCCAGCTATTCCCTCAGAAGAAAAATGTCTCTATTTTTTGACAGAAACCTTTAATACATTTGATGATCCATTATAGATTTAATATGGAAAAGGGATATTAAGTTTTATTCCAAATTATATAAATTTGATTCAAATATAATCCACCAACAATTACATTACTAAAAGTACTAAAGCAACCATTAAATTTGGAATCGACATTAATTTATCAAAAGATTGTAATATATAATCTTTAATTTTAGGTTTATTGAATGTTAAATTTAATCAAAACTTAAATACATCCAAGATTTCTTCCTAAAATTAAGTTGTTAATGAAAACACATTAAGTTTATATGGAGTATTTTCTGAATAAAAATCAGAATACACAATTGAATTTAATAATATTATCAATCCAATAGTACCTAGTAAGTTTAATTATGTTGATCTAGAAATAATATATTTTAATAACATCATAGCATCTAATTAAAATTAAATTGAAGTTGAAATAATACCAGAAATTTTAACATTGAAAAACATTAATCTTGATTATATAATAGCAAACTCATACACAACTTTTAAATTAGAAATTAATTTTAATGTGTAACATCCATACTTAACTAATATTGAAATTTAGTTTGATCCATTAAATATTAATTTTAATTAAATTACTAAATAGATTTAATGTTTTTTAGACAATTAAGATTATATTTGTTAAATTCATCAAACCAAATTAACAATTTTTGGTGTTGGTTTGACAAAAAATTCTATTTTATTAGAGATTTTATATTTTCCATATCCAAAATCAATACAACCTTTAATCATTGAATCAATTAGATAATTCAATAATAGTAATATTCTATTATAAACTGATTAAACTTATTTAATTTAACCTAAATACTGTAGAGAATTTAACCAATTTTAGATATAATTATAATAAATAATTTAGCAATAAGAATTAGTTCCAATTAACATCGGAATAATGCCTTCACAAGATATTTTAGAAAATGAATTCTTAATTTTTGTGTTTGATAATAATATGATAATAGAAAATGATGTTTAATGCTAAATTAACAGTTATTTAGTGAATATAGAATGTGAATTAAAAAATGAATAAATAAAAATAAAAATTGTAAGTGGATCCCTTATTCATAATATGAGTTATAGCATATTGATAAATAAAGTAAAAATTCTTGGAAATCTTATTAATTTTAAGTTGAGTGCCTTCACCTAAAATAATTTTCTTTAATAGTAATCATAATACACTCATGTTAAAAAATAATAATCTCAGTCAAGTGAGTTTCTAGAATTTACATTTGATCCTATAGATTCTGAATATTCAGCCTAAAGTAGTTATAATTTATTTTTTGAAAATGCAATTAATATTCCTGCCTAAGGATATTTAAAATTATCAGCCGCAGAATTGAATATCAATTTTCTATCAGGCTAAGTGATTAAAGTTTCAGGAAATGAAGACATTCTTAATTAAAAAATAATAAAGTAAGACTAAAAATATAGTTTATTGTTTTATTTTGAAAAAGAAGTATTTAGTGGAATGCATTTATTTAGATTGTAAAATATTAGTAATCCACTTTATAAATAAAAGAAAGATTATTATAATTTTTAATTGGAAAGCTATGATTAAAATAATAATCTTTTAGAATATAAATAATATGATCTCTATTTTATTTTTGTATGTCCATAATCAAAATGCTTAATTTGTAATTAATAAGATTATTGTGATAAATGTGATGCTGATTATGTATTATATTAAGGTTAATGTTTAAAAGAATGTCCAATTTAAACTGTTTTGATTAACAATCAATGTTAAAGATGTAATTCAGGTGCAAGTTGTTTAGTTTGTAGTAATGTAGATACTGTTTTATGCATTAAATGTAATGATGGATATGATTTAATTAATGGATTCTGTATTTGGACAACATATTTAAATTAAACTTAAAGTTAAAATCCGTCAAATAATATTACTAATAATTCTAATGTATATTTTAATAAAAATACAACTATTTAAACAAATTAAACAATCTAAACACAATTAATATTTGATGTCCATATATTTGCAATTATTGTATTATCATCTGCTATTATATTTATACTAAGAAATATTTTTTAAAAAAAAACTGATTTTTAAAATGCATATCTGGCTTTTAGTGGATTATCAGATTTTGCTTTACAATTTATTTCATTTTTAATAATAATTATTAATTACACTATTTTCTAATCTATTATTTCACTAACATTATGCTTTTTAACCATTTTCTAATAACTCTATGCATATAAGACAATAAAACATTAATTATAAGTTGATTCTAGCTATTAAAAATATTTAGATAGTAGGTTTGCATAAATATTAAGATTTTTGACTTTATATATTGATTGGAAGGTTATCTTTATTCATAAATCCAGTATTACTAATTCTAAATTATTTTCAATTGAATTTTAAAATGAAATAAGAATTTTAAGATTAATTTTCTTTTTCTTCCTCATTAAAATTTCTATTAATATAGTAAATTTAGGGATGTTAGGCATAATCTTAATAACCTAAGATTAAATAGCATAATTGATTTACGAATCTATATTTTATAATTTAGCTATGATTCTTATTTAATTAAATAAGATGTATTAAATAAAACTTACTTTGAAAAATTATAATCATTAAGATATTTTGATAGATTAGATAAATATTGAATAAAATAATCAAGAATAATAGAAAATAACAGCAAAGGTAACTCCAGAAAGTATGATTATTTAATAAGATTGATTTAATTTTATATCTATAATTATTTATTAATAATACAAAGTACTTTTTAAAGAAAAGTAAATGAATTAACTAAAAACAAAAAGAACTGATATTAGAAATTAAGGAAAATAAAAATGAGCGCGTATATCCTATTGTAGAAATATAAAAATTTGAGGCGCGTAAATTCTTAAAAAATTGAAAAAAAAGAGAGGAATTGATATCTTAATTGCAATATATCAAAAAAAATTGCTAATTGAGATGAAAAAAATGGAAGTAACTTGTTTTTATAAAATAAATAAAAATTGAAAATCAGTTTCTTAATCATCTCAATTTAAGAATAGTGCAATACTAAAATTTTAGTCTTTATAAGCTAATAGCAGTTGCTTAAATTTTATTATTTAGATTAATGAAATAATTTAAGTAATATTAGACTGAAAGTTTAACTAAGATTGGCAGAGAGAATATTAAAAACAAACTTAAATGTTTGATTCCTAATTATAATAACTAGAAACAAATTATTGGCAAAGAAAAGCTAAAGTATCAGTGTTCAACTAATACTCATGATAACTCAAAAATTAGTATGCAAACTAAAGAAACCAATTATACAAATGCTAAAATTGTAAGTAAAAAATGGTTACTGAAAAAAAGGAGGCTTAACTAATAGCATCCTGTTATGGAAATACCTTAATTTGTTGTTAAACCATACATTAGACTAAAATTATTTGTAAATTGTTAGTAAATAGAAAAATATTGAATTTGCTAATATTAATTTATAAAATAAAATTCATAAAAATTTTTTAATTTATTTTCATTTTGTTATATAATAAAATACAGATATAATTTAATGAATAAAGATGTATATTCATATAAATTTTTGTTTATATTAAATACCAATTTTATATAAAAACTTGATTTATAGTTCTTCAGATAAGATTATAGATAAAATAAAAAATAAAAAACAATATATAAATTTTAAGTTTGACATTTACTTAATTGAACATTATAAACTAATATAAATCACAAAATATAATATAATTGATCTAATCCTCTTCCAAATTCATCCCAATCTAAACCATAACCGATAATAAATTTATCTTCAATCTCTGTACCTAAATAATCAGGTTTGATATTTATTTTTTATTTTCCTAATAATATATGAATAATTAATTATACCAATCTTAAGAAAACAAGCACATAATTTTATGCTTGCAGGTTCTAATTTTTTCATTTCTTCTATAACTGCTGTTATTGTTAATCCTGTTTCAATTATATCTTCTACTATAATGACATTTCTGCCCTTAATATCATTTTTTAATCCACTTAAAGCTTTTACTATTCCAGTTGATTAACTTCCTAAACTTTATTAATTATTATTAAATACCATCATAACTTGATAATTTGATAAAATCAATTTAAAATTTAATTTAAGGATCAACACCTCTAATTAAATCTGACATAAACATAAATGCACCATTCAAAACCCCTATAAAAATAGGATTTTTATCCTTATAATCAGTTGAAATCTAATTTGCTATTTTGACAACCATATCATGGAGTTATTCTCTAGAAAAATATAATTAAAGTTCTTTGCCTTTGATAATTAAATTCATTTAAATAATATAATATCAATTTTTTCAGAAATTAATTCATTTATTTAAATTCACTACTTTGATGTTACCATTAGGGTATTCAATTTTTTTAATTTTATCTTAATCAATTGTTTATTTAACTCCATCAGGATAAAAAACCTCCTCTTCTCCTTTATAATTTATATATTTTTTTGTTCCATCATGATATAATATCTATTTACTACCATCAACAAATGTAATTTCCAATTATTTATTGCTAAAATATATAACCTATTATAATTTAAGTTAAACTTACTGAAATTCCTTAAGGTAAATAAGTTTGAGTAGAATTATTTTTTTAATAATAATATATTTTAATTCCATTTGGAAGCTCTTACTTAATATCTTTATTAGGAAAATGTACAATTACATAATCATTTGGAAATATTTCTTTAATAAATCCTTTCATTCCCTCAACCACCTTCTTTCCAGATTTATATATTTTAATTATTTTTCCATCTGATCGCTATTATTTTTCAACAGGCTTTTCCTTTTTGTTACATTATTTTAAATAGTCTTTGTAAAATGAATTATGATCAAATTCAAATTCTTCAATAAATAATTTCTTATTTATATCATCAATAGAAAACTAAAATTCTTTATTCTATATTAATTCAAATAAAGGAATTGGTTTTACAATTTCTTAAGGAGAATCTTATGATTTTTTTTAATTATTTTCTTAAACTTTTTAATCTTTTTGCTTTTATTCATTTGCTTGCTATAACTTTTTTTTTTAATTTGCAATTAATTCTTAAACTTCTACATTTTATTCATATTCATTAATTATTTAAGATAATTAGATAATTTTTTTTTAATTTAGAGTGTTTTATTCTTCTAAATCTTTTGTTTATTATATTTTATCTTAATAATACTTTTAATATTTTTGTTTCTTTTAAAATAATTTTTATTATTTTTTATCGTTTTCTTCTTTTAGATTTTCAATTTATTTTTTTAGTCCTTCAATTTCTTAAATTAAAGATTTGTTAGGCTCATTCTAATGAGTCTTTTAAATCATATCAAGAACATTTTATTTTTTAGTAATTTTTTCATATTCTTTTTTTTTTAATTCTTCAAATTCTTGTATTTGACTAAATTTATTAAACTCAAGCAACTCTTTTTCATACTTTAAAACTTTAAATTAATAATTAATTTCTGTTTTTTCTTTTTTTAATCTTTAATTTTCAATTTTATTGGTATCAATCAAATTTTATAATAAATCAATTTAATTTTTGAAATATTTTTTAGCATTTTCATATTCTTCTTCATTAGGCTCTTCAATATTTTAAAAACTTTCAATTTGCTTATTGTATAAATTAGTATCAATAAATTATCTTAATTATTTAACTTTTTAATCATCATTTATTTGTACTAATGGTTTTCGAGGTTAATTTAAATTAGAATTTTCTCTTTAACATGGCAATAAAATATTACTTTTTTTCTTTAAATATTCACCAACTATTTTTTACTTTTTCTCAATGTTTTCATCATCTTTAATTTAATAAAATTCTTAATTTGTTAAGCGTTATATAGGTCTAGTATCTTCAATAATTTGATAATTATAATCTTATTATTGCTCTTAAATTTTCTCAAAATAATCTTCTTCCTGATGATTAAAACTTCTGATTTGTTTTTATTATGGAACTCTTTTAGATTTTATTTTTAATTGATTTTTGTTTGTTAAGTATTGAATTTATTTTTCTATCGGATTATTATTATAAATTATTTCACCTTATTCTAAATCATTATATGGTACGTCTAAATTTATCATATGTTTATAAGAATCCTTAATATGAAAAATATTTTACTTAAAAGTAATTTTTTGGATCATATTACTAATTATTATCTGAATATTGATTATCATATTCATCCATAATATTTTACATAAATTGTTAAAAGCTAATTTATTGTTCTTTTTTAGATTTATAATAATTACCTTATCCTGAATGTTAATATTCTTCAATGATTGCTTTAATTAATTTCTCATTTGTTCTTGTAAAATTTAAATTATCATTTTATTATCGTTATTGCATAATTAGAATTTATAATTATTAAGAATTAAAATAACAAGAAAAGAAAATAAAATTTAAGCAAGATTTAAAAATAGATAAAATAGATGATTTTATTTCTTATAGAAATATAAAAAAAAGATTGATATGATTATAATAATTTATTCAATGAATTTAAAAAGAATTAAATGTGATCAAACTACAACTTTATAATGTTCTGCTGAATGATTACTTGCTCTTGATTTATTTATATATTATTATAATGGATATTTAATTGGAGATTTCGAAGTTGGTTGATATTCTCCTCTTGAATGAGTAACTCTAGCAATTGCATATAATTTATCTGTCGAAACAGAATAATTAAATTAAAGTTCCTTAATTTTGCTTAATAATAAATGTCTATTAAATTCATCTGTCATTTACTAATTTGAGTTATAGTCTTACTTATTATTTTACATTTTATTGTAAGGATGTTTTATTTGTTAAAGATTATTAACTAGTTAGATTAGAAACTGCTATTTTAGGACTGGCAACACTATCTAATTAAGCTATTTTTGATAAGACATTAGTGCCTTTTAAATAATTCATTAATTTTTTTACTATTTTTCGACACTGATGAAGAGATAATTCTAGGTGATGAGGCTGCTGTTATATTTCTAGCCATTTATCTTTGACTTGAACTCTATCTTTCATTTTTCTCATTTTTTAAATCCTCATAATTTATTCTGTTTATCAATGTATAAATTTTTCCATAATCCAATGGCTATGTTTATAATAAGCATAAAAATTATTCCCAACTTTCAGATAAATAGGCTTATTAATTCTATGGATATTGTGTTAGATTTATTCTAAAGAATTAATCAAATAGAGCAAAAAGTGAGTCCATTTTAAATAATTTAACGATTAAAAATTACAGAATATATTTCTCTATGTTAACAATTTTATATAACAAAAAAAATAAATGTCAAATTAAGTCATTTATTTAAATTTCAAAAAATATTCATCATTTATTTGGTTAGTATTTAATTTGAAATAATTTACTGTTTTATAATAATGAAGTTTATTCTGATTAATCTTATAGTACTTATTATTTTTAAATTTCTTAATTTTTTTAAGATTATTCTTCAACTTCCAATTCTTATAATTTCTTTTTCAATTAAGAAACAGTTGTTATCATATAATCAAATGAGATCTTTGATTAATCTTAAGTAGATCGAGATGATCTTGATTGACTTGAATGATTCAAAGACATTTACAATCCTTATCGATTTTGGTATATCTAAAATTTATTTATTTTTTTTACTTTTTAAGTAGTTAGAGCTTTTTTAGGTTTAATATCTTATTTAATAAATTTATTAAAAAATTAAGGCATTGCTTCTAATGTATTTTAAATTGGTTAAGGAGGTGTATTTAAAGCAGTTGACCTTTATTAAGTATTTGCTGTTTTTACAATACTTACTTTTCCACCATTTATAACACTTTTTTATTCAATTACAGGAGGCAAAGATGAATGAAAATTTTATGTGAAATTATTTTTATTAATTTCAAGTAATGTATTTTACAATAGAATATTATTCGCTTATTAATCTTCTACCTTTTTTTTTAAATTTTATGCAGTTGTCTTACTAATTTAATTAGATTGAATATTTATACACTTTTCTTTCAAATTAAGTAAGATTACAACACTCGGTATATTTAAGATAACAATCTAAACAAACTTAAGTTTTTAATTATCTCCAACTAGGATTAAATTTTAATAATTTATATTTATCTTCAGATAATTTACCCCATACTTTCAAAATTAATGCTGGAACAGTTTTAAAATTTAATTTAAAATCTTCTTATTCTTCATCTAAATATCTACATAATTCTTAAATTTCAGCATGAACTTAATCAGAAGTTTTTTTATTATTTACAAGTTTATATTTCTCTACCAAAATTTCTTATTGACTTTATGTACCAGAATTTTATTATTATTATTCAAAATAATTAGACAATTAATAATCTAAAATATATAGAATAAGATAATTACCTTTATGAATAAATTATTTTGATCTTGTTTTAATATGTTAATTTAATTTAAGTAATTCACTTTTTTTATCATTTTTAATTTTAATTTTTTATAAATCTTCTGATAGTCTAGTAAATTCGTTACTTACTAATTACTANTCATCATTTATTTGGTTAGTATTTAATTTGAAATAATTTACTGTTTTATAATAATGAAGTTTATTCTGATTAATCTTATAGTACTTATTATTTTTAAATTTCTTAATTTTTTTAAGATTATTCTTCAACTTCCAATTCTTATAATTTCTTTTTCAATTAAGAAACAGTTGTTATCATATAATCAAATGAGATCTTTGATTAATCTTAAGTAGATCGAGATGATCTTGATTGACTTGAATGATTCAAAGACATTTACAATCCTTATCGATTTTGGTATATCTAAAATTTATTTATTTTTTTTACTTTTTAAGTAGTTAGAGCTTTTTTAGGTTTAATATCTTATTTAATAAATTTATTAAAAAATTAAGGCATTGCTTCTAATGTATTTTAAATTGGTTAAGGAGGTGTATTTAAAGCAGTTGACCTTTATTAAGTATTTGCTGTTTTTACAATACTTACTTTTCCACCATTTATAACACTTTTTTATTCAATTACAGGAGGCAAAGATGAATGAAAATTTTATGTGAAATTATTTTTATTAATTTCAAGTAATGTATTTTACAATAGAATATTATTCGCTTATTAATCTTCTACCTTTTTTTTTAAATTTTATGCAGTTGTCTTACTAATTTAATTAGATTGAATATTTATACACTTTTCTTTCAAATTAAGTAAGATTACAACACTCGGTATATTTAAGATAACAATCTAAACAAACTTAAGTTTTTAATTATCTCCAACTAGGATTAAATTTTAATAATTTATATTTATCTTCAGATAATTTACCCCATACTTTCAAAATTAATGCTGGAACAGTTTTAAAATTTAATTTAAAATCTTCTTATTCTTCATCTAAATATCTACATAATTCTTAAATTTCAGCATGAACTTAATCAGAAGTTTTTTTATTATTTACAAGTTTATATTTCTCTACCAAAATTTCTTATTGACTTTATGTACCAGAATTTTATTATTATTATTCAAAATAATTAGACAATTAATAATCTAAAATATATAGAATAAGATAATTACCTTTATGAATAAATTATTTTGATCTTGTTTTAATATGTTAATTTAATTTAAGTAATTCACTTTTTTTATCATTTTTAATTTTAATTTTTTATAAATCTTCTGATAGTCTAGTAAATTCGTTACTTACTAATTACTATTAATAGGTAAATGATAGATACTCTTTCAAAACTTTCAATAATTTATTGAAATTATAATTGATAAAGTTCTGAGGCAAATAAATCACAATTAGAACAGACATTTTCTAATTAATATAAAAGTTCTTCAATTTATCCTTCACTATTGTATTTAACTACTTTTTGAATATTTTCAGTTCCTGTGATTACAGGTTCAAGATCTCTTCTAATAATTTTAAAAAGAGGGGAATCTGTTCTAAGTTTTTCAGGATGAGTTGAAAACTTATCTTTAACTTTCATACCAGTACAAAACATTAACCAGATTCTATTATCTTGATCAACTTTAAAATATAAAATCATTCTAATAATTTAAATGTTTCCACCTGATACTTCTTAAACATGTTTAACAATATTAACACATAATTGTTCTAAATCAGAACTCAATAATGGTGAACTAATGGAATCTGAAACAGATAAGTATTCAGGTCCATCAAAAGTACTAACTCGTTCATATAATGTTTTTTTATAATCATTCATATTATTGATATTAGTTTTCCTATTTATGAGACAGAATTAAGGAGACCAAGTTACTTTAATTATTGAATTATGATCACTTTTAGGATAAATGAATCTAAAATATAAAATTAAATAATATACTTTTAAAGAATAGAATTTAATTCTTTTTCTCTTTAATACAAGAAATTACCAAAGTTTTCTTTATCAAAGTATTCAAAATTGATTACTTCTTATTATTTAGATTATGCCTAATATAGTTGTTAATATAAATACTTGACTAGTCATTAAAACAGCTACAGTATTATCTTATAAAAAAGCTTATTCAACTTATTCAATAAAGACTCTTTCTTTAGTTTTTCTAATTATTTATCCATTTTAGGCTGTGAAATACCCTATTATTATGTTGAATCTTTATATTACTAAAGTAAGGTTATGCCCATCTATAAATAACCGTATCTGCAAGAAATACTCCATTACAACTATGACCAGAATTGGGGTTCTTTTTCCAAAGATGAAAGAATAACCATTCAGTACAAGTTCCAAGTTTCATATAATTTATTTAATATTAATTATTTTATTATATAAATTGATATTATTAATTTAATTTAATGAATGTAGTTAAAATAAATGATAATAATATCTTTATTATATTTAATAATTAATTAAATTTTATCATAAAAATAAATTTTGTTTAACATCTTCTTATAATTAATTATTGAATGTGTCATTCTTTTATAATTATTTAATATTACTTAGATTTAACATTTAAATTAACTAAATTTTGAACTGCTCATTACTAATCTTTGTATTCTATTAAATGCTGCTGGTGTTTAATAATAATCATCACTAAATAAAAATTAATTCCTATTTACTTATAAATTTTTGATGGTGTTTGATCTAATTATTACATTGATAACATTTGTCTTGATTCTATTTATATTGGTATTATGTTATTAATATTTTTGTTCTCTTTTTCTTTCTATATTTCTTTCAATTAATTTTTCTTATATATCAAATATTTTCTATGCATCCTATTTCTTCTTGGATGCTTACTGATATATTTGTTTCTAATTTCAAACTTCATATACTCTTTTTATACATTATTATTTAAATTGCTTCTTGTCCTCAAAGTAGTATTTTAATTTTGTATTATTATTGGCTCAACTATCTAATCCTCTTCTTCATCTGTATCTGTCATCAAGCTTACATACTTTTTATTTAAAAATATTATTTCCATTGCTTTCCTTTCATAAGGGTTCACAAATTAATCTAAAATAGTATTCCTACCTTCTTTAATTCAAATTTAAAACCCTTTTTATTAAAATTGTTATCTAATTTTCTATAACTTTTCATAAAATTCATTCATTCTCTTCTTCATTCCAGAATTCCAATGATTCTTTATTGCATTATCAGTTCTTCCTTCTAAATGCTTTGCTATTTCTGCCCATTCATTACTAATAGCTTCATGATACAAAAATAAAATCCATTCTTCATCATATTCCCAAGGAGACTTTTTTATTAATGGATTCAGATGATTATGCCATCTAAATTATTAATATTATTCTACCGTTCTCTACATTACTTTCCTATTCTACCTTATAACTTAGATGCTATAAATGTCCATTTATGTGGCCCATATTATTCCACTAATTACATTACTTACGCATCCTCATAATCACTCCATGGTTCTAAATTTATTATATCAAATACTTTTTTTTATTTTCTCAACCTTTTTTCTCATTCAAAATTATAAATACTATATATTTTATAAAATTAACGATTATTAAATTCATTATTATCAATAAAATTATCTTTACTTTTTTTAATCACTCTTTCTTTATCTCTATCCCTTCATTTCATATTATCCATTAAACTAACCTCTTTTAATCTATTTAAAAAATCCTTATATTTTATCTAAATTGTTTACAAAATCTTTTTACGAATCATTAATATTATATCCTTCTTAAACAATCTAATTATTCAATATATCTATTTTTATTCATAATTTTAACTTTAATCTTTATATTCTTCCTTTCTATATTCATCATATTACATATATCAATTTTAATTCTATAACTTAATTTAAGCACAATTCCTCCTCTTCTATTATTTCTTTTAATTATAATATGACTTTCCCTTAAATTGATTTAAGAAAACTCATGTCGCAAATTTAAAATTTAAAACTTATTATCAATTATATATTATTAAGAATATTTAATAAAAACCCTTCATATTTTATCTTGAATCTTAAATAAGATGAAATTTTAGAATTTATATTCTCAAAAATCATAAAAAACTAATTAAGAAATAATTTCTCCTTTTTATAATGTAAAATTATACAGAATTTGTCTTAAATTATTTTAAAACTCTTTCTATATTTAAGGAATTCCTTTTTGTTTATCTCTCATATTTATTGTTCAAAAGAAGAATCAATTTTATATCATTAAATTTCCCTACTTTTTGGAATATTTTAAAATTTATTTATTTAAACTTTCAAACTTTTCTAGTTCTTTACTTTCTAAAATCAATCAATGTTCACAAATTTAATCAATGATATCGATTTTATTATTCATATTTTCTTCATATAAAGTTATTTTTGGCTCTAATAATTTTAATGATAATTTTATTATTTTATAATCGTTATGAGTTTCGATGATAATTAGCTTGATGTATCAAGCATATCTATTATAAAAAAGTTTCTAAATTCTGAACTACTTGAAGAATCTGAATTTGATTTAGAACAAGCAAATGAATAAAACAAAAAACCTTAATAGTTCAACTTAAATTTAATGCTTGAATAAAAAAAAAATAAAAACTGTTAAAAAAAATAATAAGAATTATCAGAAAATTAAGACCTAAATTACTTACTTAATGAATTAAGATAAGAGCAAAAGAATTTTTAAGCTGAACTAGAACATATACAAACTTAATTTATTTAAGAAATAAAGTTTTTAATGCAAAAAATTTCTGATCAAAACTAATTGTTTTATAAGCAACAAGAATATTAACTTTCCTTAATCTAATAAAAGAAACAAAAATTATAATTGCAATCTCCTTAGCAATCATATTCATTTTTGTATCAAATGAACCCAAATCTATAATTATACTAGAAATTTAATACAGATACTAAAAATTTTTTAGTAAAATTATTACAGAATATTAAAACAACAAAAATATGTTAAGAAATATTTAATACGCAAGAATAAAACTTTCAATCCCAAACATCAAGATCTCCTCTTACTTAATTAAATAAAGTATTTTCTAGGCAAGCATCTATGGAAAAAAAACAACTGTTTAGTAACAAAACAAATAATACAAACATGAAATTTAATTTAATCATGCCAATAAAAAGAGACACCTAATCTTTTTGGAATCAACCTAGTGAAAGAAAGTGTAGTTTAACTTCTAAAATAAGTTCTAGTCCATATGAAAAGAGAGATAAATACTTAGTTCAATAAGCATTATATAAATAGTCATCAGATTTCTTAAAATTTAAATGTTGATATTGATTCATATTTTTTTATCATTATAATTATTTTGATAAGTAAAGTTTAACACTTTATTTTGAATTTAAAATATTATCTTAAAAATTTACATCAAAGTATGCATATAATTAATCTTGTCATATAAATTCTAATTACAAACAGCACAAAAAGTTTATAAGTATAAAGAAATAATTTTATTTAATAATTTTTTACTTAAATTATTTAAATTATATGATTCATATTTTTGAATTCAGATTTTCTGTCTAATAAATATATGCTTCCTTATAGATAAACAACAATACCTTTAAGAATTTATTATTATTTTTAATAAAAATTTCATGTAATCAAATAATCCATAAAACAATTCACGCTAAACTTAAATCAAATTGCCAACTCAATTAGAGGAATAAAATTTAGGGAATACTTCTCAAGTTCCTTATGCCATAACAAAAAACCCTATAGTTTAGAGAAGGGAATCCAAAAGAAAAACAAGTACTTGATTAAATTATGCATTTTACATCTTGCCAATCTTTATAAATGAATTTTATTCTAGAATTCCCAATTTCTTTTATTTCTGGAAGGGCAGATCTTCTTAACAATAAGAGTTAAAAAAATTAGAAACTAATAAACGGCATTATTATTCCATTAAAATCCAATGTTATTTGTTAAAAAATACTCTGAAGCTAAGAATTTTATAGAAAATGCAAGATTATTTTTATATCAAAAGATACTAATAAAACTTTTATAATAAAAAAGCTTTGACTTGCATCTAAAAATGTAATTAATATTTTAACTAAGCTATCAGAAATTATCTTCAATTAAAATGAACACGAAGAGTTTTTTTGTAAAAAAAAAAAGAAAATTTAAGTTTTACTTGAAAAATGTAACTCATTTTCATCCAAAGAAATATATAAATATTTAGATAACAAGCTAGAAAAGGTATCCATAAATATTACTGAAATAAATTAATGTAATTAGAATTATAAAATGTGAATTCGAATAATTGAACATTTCTATATTGTAAGAACAGTAAAAAAGGATATTATTTTTAGAATTTGTAAATCTCTTTAAGTTTAGAATTATTAATGTATTTATAATATTAATTTTATTTGAAGTTTTATTCGATAAATCCAAATTTTATATAGTATTATGGACAAGCTGCCAAAATAATCTCGATAATGTTCAAGATATAAAAGCTAGCCTCTTATAAAACGATAACTCCTTATTTTTATAGAAATATTTATCATTTTTAGAATAACTTTCGAATCTGTTATAATTAATATTCAACTAAACCTAAGTTGCAAAAAAATTCGAATAATTTTTTTAATGCTAGTTAAGAATGTTAAATTAATATAGGTTTCAAAATATGTAATTGTTTAGAGTATCTCTTTTGTTTTAAATATTAAATCAAAATTTTTATTGTAGTTATGAATAAATCACAAATTAATAGCCCAAAGTATCAAATCTATTTAGAATATTGAAGGTGTCATCAGAAATAATAGATTCTACTAATTCTATAGCGATTAAATTTTTAGATTTGGATTATACATTTTATGTTATTTAAATATCATAAATACTAGGAGAGATGGAATCATAATACATTCTCAAGTTTTTTTTACATGAAGTCATTTTATATCTGTATCATGAAAGGATTAGAAATCTATATCCAATAAAACTTTATTTATTGCAACAATATTGTAGAATTTTATCTAAATATAAAATCATTAGAGCTATTTTCTTAATCTTAGGCAAAAATCAAAAGCACAAAGAATCATTTTGTTATTTCTCATTAATTTATACATTTTTAATCAAGGATTTTTCGTTTGATTAAAAATTATTAAGTATCTTAAAATTAATTAATATCTTAGCAATACTATTGCACATTAAGTTTTAAAGATATTTCTAGTATGTTAAAATCTTTAAAATTAAATCAAACTGATATTGTTATAAATTTATTTTCAGAAACTTAAAAAAGGTTTTTGAAGATAAAAGATTTTGATACATCGATTATAAATATAAGTTTATGATGATAGTTTAAAATCCAAAAATGTTGATGAAGATTTAAATTGATATTGTTTTTGTTAAATAACTTTTCATTAAAATCATTAATTAAGATTATTTATAAGGATGGAGTTAATTTTTGTAAGTAATTTTAGTGAACATTTTAACTTTATATATTATTATTCAATATATATACTAAATAATGCTTTATTAAGTACTTTTATATGTGGAATATTTGAAATAATTTCTTTAAAAAAATGGAAAATAAAGTAAAATTGAGCACATAGGATGGAGTTATTATTGAAGTAATTGATAGTTTAAAAATAGGTTGATAAAGAGGTAGCATGTAAATCTCATTTAATCAACACCATTATTGATGATACAGGTAGTGAAGAAGAAATTCCATTACCTAATGTTAAAAGCAGTATCTTAAAGAAGGTGATTTAATACTGTGATTTGCATAGAAATGATAATCCCCCTGAAATCGAAAAGCCTTTGAGAAGCAATAATTTGTATGATTATTTTTGATTTTTTAGATCTGATTGTGTAGAGCAAAAAGATGCTGATTTCATTGATATACCTAATTTAGAAGAATTATTTGATATTATTTTAGCTGCCAATTACTTGGATATTAAATCTCTATTAGATCTGTCTTGTGCTAAAGTTGCTACATATATTAAAGGTATTAATATAATCCATGTTTTAAGGCAAAACTCCTGAAGAAATTAGAAAAACATTTAACATTCAAAATGATTTAACATAAGAGGAAGAATAATAAATTAGAGAAGAAAATAAATGGGCAGAAGAAACTAGTTGAGCAGTTCTTCATAAAATTTAAAAAACATATTATTATTCTTAATAGAAATAGAATGTACATCTTTAATTCTCTAGAAAATGGTTCATTTGTTAATACATTTGTTATTCTTCTTTAAACTGTGATCATAATTAATTTGATTCCATACAAATGTTAAAATAAAGATTGTTAGAAATTAAATTTTATTAATTAATCAAATATAACTAAATGGCTTAAATCATTGTGATTGATCACAATAAATCATCATGATAACAAGATTTATAAGTTTAATTTAGTTTTGTTGTTTTTGATTCATTTTATTATTTATATATTGATAATATGTGTTTTATATAATAATTTAATGAATTCATGTATTAAAACAATAGGAAGTACTAAATTACTTTAAATAATGCTCATTGCTGATAGCTTAGTTATTCACATACAATCCTATTTAATTCCAAACTATAATTATTTGATTCTAGCCTTATCATTAACATGCTTTCATGCAATCATTTTAACATCTGAACATTTTTTATATGGCAAAAATAAATTAATAAATATACTTTTTAATACATTTAAAGGAGTAGCTCAGATAATTGTTCACTATTTACTGGAGTAAAATTGCTTAATATATACTGGAATATAATTAATTTGCATACTCAAATAAGATATTTAACATATTAAATTAGTTTCATCCATATTTTTTATAACTTAATTATTTTGCGTAGTATTTAGTAAAAAAGATTTTGTAATTGTAGGAGTGATAAGAACAGTATTTAATTATTTTTTGATAAATTAAATTTTTAGATTTGAAAGTTAAAATAAATTAATTTAGCTCGAAAACATTCTGAAACATATTTAACATGATGAATTTTGTTTATTGGATAATAATTTCAACCCAATTTTTCAATAATAATTTTTCAATTAATTAAAATAAGAACAAGTAATGGGTGTATAAGATTTGTATAATTAGACAAGAATTATTACTCCAAGGGATAATACCATCAATTTAATTAGAGAAATTGCTTCTAATTATGAAGAAGAAGTTAAATAAACCATACCTCTATAAGAAATTCTTTTCCTCCTTAAAAAAAGTAAGATTTCTTTAACTAAAAGACTTTGTTATTAGATGAATAATTAACATAACTATAATATCTCAATAGAGAACATAATTTTGGATGATTATAACTCTATTATAATGATATCAAAAAGAAAAAAAATTGAGACTAATTAATCAAGCAACTAAATTAATTTTATGATTAAGACTGTTAGAAAGGTATCACATGATATGAGAAATCCATTGAATGCAATAATTAATATGTAGATGTGTTTAAAAGATTGTATTGATGAAAACTTAGTTTTAAAATATCTTAAACCATCTTTAAATTCCTGTCATTTATTACTAAATTTAATAAATGATATTTTAGATTCAGCTTAATTTGAAAATAAAAAATTAAAATTAGTTTACAGAAAGTTTAATCTTGAAAAGCTAATAAAAAAAACAATTTCAATATTTGATTCGTTAAAGGATAAGAAAGATATCATGATTACATTTAATTATGATTAAAAATTACCAGTCTAGGTAAGCTCTGATAAATTTCGAATAAGATAAATAATAATGAATTTGCTAAGTAATGCTATTAAATATACAAAACCAAATGGAAAGGTTTTTATTGATTGTTTCGAAAGTGATGAGAGAAAAAATTTCATAAAAATATGTATATAAGACACAGGTTATGGAATAAAACCTGAGAATTTATAATATCTATTCTAAGAATATTCTAAAGTAGAAGATGATGAAAATTAGAATGTGAATCCTTTTGGAATAGGATTAGGATTAATGATAAGTAATGAATTAGCTAAATTATTATCTAACAATGGCATTCAAGTATAATCTTAATTGGGAATAGGCTCAAAATTTTATTTTGAAATAGAAAATAAATAACCTTCAGCTGAAGATATTTCAGAATCATAATTGTCGATTAATCATTAAGATGGATTGCCAACTTTTGATGTTCATTTCTTTCCAGGAATTAATTCTTAAAAATCTCCTGCAATTTCAATAACACTTCCACAAATAGAGAGCAGTAGAAAGATTATTTTAAGAAAGTCTTAAAAAACAATTAATATAATGACTAATTCTGTAAATAACCAAACAAAGATTAAGGTAAAAAGTGATGAAAAAAGCTTTTGTAGAAAGTAGTCATTATACGCTAAAAAAATAGAGACATTAGTTCAAAATTGGTATGATAATACTAATAAAAAACCACCTATTTTAATTGTGGATGATGATGAAGTTAATATAATGGTATTACAGTATTTATTGGAATAAATGAATATAAGTTCTGATTCTGCAATGAATGGTATGACCTGTTTATAAAAGTTTGTTGATAGATAAAAAGAAGGAGTATCTTATTAATTAATTTTTTTGGATATCAATATGCCAATAATGGATGGATTTGAATTAGCCAAAAAATTGATTTAGATTGATCCTCTTATTATTCTAATTGCTTGTTCAGGTGATGCATCAAACTAAAATTATTAAGAAAAATGTAAATAATCAGGTATCTTCTGTTATATCCTAAAACCTATCTTCAAAAGCAAATTAAAAGAAATACTAATTAAACTATCTGAAGGAATCAAATTTGATAGTTAATAATATTCATATTATTGCTGATTATAATATTTTATATATAATGTTGGCCAAATAAATATTCTTAGCAAAGGCATAAAGTAAACCATAATAGACAGGAAAGATTGAATTTCCCACTCTTTTGGATTTAGCAATAGAGTAAGTGGCATTAAATTTTGATCTTTATTCATAATTGCCTGGGATTCCAGAAAAAATAAAGCATTAAGTATTCCAACTAAATAATAATTAGATTATATCTAAAGCACCTAAAACTTTACCTGTAACAATCACTTACAATAGTATAGAAGATGAGAATTATTGGAAATAGGCATGTGAAACTAAATGGAAAGGTACTCATAGAACAATAAATATATGCAAACATAGTTACAGTTATAAAATTGCTTATATGGAAAATTTCTTAGAAGAATATATCAAATCTATAAAAGTAATAGTTGAATTGAAAAATAGAGCTTAGAAACCTAATAAGAAAAGGATGAATTATAAGCAATATTAAAGGCAGTGAATAATTGGGTTTTTTCCCTCAATATTTCTTAAACCTAATGCAATATTGACATAGGATTTTTATGTTAATATTTGCCTTGTTTGTAAAATTTGACAGTTATATATGGAGTTAAAGTTCATATTATTAAATATTCAATTTTAGACAACTGGAATTGATTAAACAAGAAAAGAGATCTTAGGAATGAAACTTAGTCAAGCAGCAGAATTAGGAGAAGCAATCTCTAAACATTGTAGAAATCTTGTATCTATTTTATCATTTATATTAGTAATCCTTATCTTTACCTTCTAATTTAATTGATGATGATTTATTGAGATTATTAATGACAGGTATAAATCTTGATATTTCTATTATTGAATTAAACCTTTCTCATAATAAAATCGGAGATTAAGGGTATATAATTCTATATTATTATATCTAAGGGTTATAAGAATTGCTAAGTATTTAATGAGATCAGAAATCCTTCTCAAATTAGACTTATCTAATAATGCTATTGGATTAGTTGGATCTAAAAATTTAGCATATGCTCTTCTGTTCAATAAATCTCTTGAACATTTAAATTTATCATTAAATTCTTTTAATGATATTGCTGGAGCCAATTTCTTCAGTAAACTTAGTTAAAATAAGAGCATTCAGCATCTAAACTTATCTGCAAATTAATTAGGCAGTTTAACCGCTGAAATGTTAGAAGTATATTTATCAGATTCATCTTGCACTTTATAATCCTTAAATATTAGCAATAATAACTTTAGTGAAAATAATGACAATAAAGATAAAAATATATTTGAAAAACTCAAAACTGGTTTAACAAAAAATACTAGTTTAAATCATTTTGATATTTCTCATTCTAAATTTAAAAGAAGTAATATTTTTACTTTTATTAAGTTAATGCTGAAAAGGAATTATAGGATATAATTGTTCAAAGTAGATTAAAATAGAAAAAAATCCCATTCATTTCAAAAGAAGAATTCGAATAGTAATAAGCTCAGAATAAATTAAGTATTTAAATCTAATATTTTAGAAAAAGAAAAGCTAGAAAAAACAAAAACTAAATAAGTAGAAGAAGTTATCTCCCCCTAATGATATAAATGCATAAATATAAAATAAATCAATAAATTATTATTATCCTAACTTTAATTAAATATTATTTTCTTAGTAATTAAAAATTGATAGATTACACTATCTAGTTATATAATCAAAAATTTTACAATAAATTTTTAACAAAAAATAAATTAATTCTTTGATCTTTATCTAAAAATTCATATATTCTAAAACTAATATTATATTTATATTATTTTTAAAATATTTCTGTTTTTATATTTGCTCTCAAGTATTAATTCATAATGTCCTTTTAGTAATAAAATTTGAATTTAACTAATGGTAACTTCTTTATGGCTTTTTGCTTTATTCAAAATAATTTAATCGTAATAGTATCTACATCAAGATGTTTGCATATAAATTATAAATAATTTTTCCTCTGAATGTTTATTTTTTTAAAATCTAAATAAAATTTGAAGTGTTAACTAGAATATTTTAGTATAAATGATTTATTATTAAATTTTATTGAAGATTATTTCTTATCTAAAGATTTTATAAAATCATTATTCTATTTGAGCATTTACATATTTTAATTAAATGTAATATAAATCTTGATCTAGTTTATTTATCATTTCTGTTTATAAAGAAAAATTATTCTTGAAATCATTTAAATCTATATTCTTATCAATAGAGGTTTTAGTTAAAGAACAATCTACAATATTTGCTTTAAGGATTTCTTAAAAAATAAATCTTTTTCATCTTATTTTACTAATCATTAAGAAGAATAGCTATTTTTTTTTCTTTTTATATAATTATATGAAATGATGCTATTTTTCAAACTTTTTTGTGATATCTCTTAATAAAAATGATAAAAAGGAGCTAACAATGATATCATGGTATCTTTATAAAGTATTCTACATTTTTAAATCTATATAATTACAGATAGATTTAGAACCATCAAATATTTATTCTTTCGCTCATAGATTTCATTATTTTTTTTTTAATTAATTTCTTCAATGCGTTAACAAGAAATTGAATCCACTTTTTGTTAAGAGAATAAGTTTAAGAATAAAAAAAATGAAAATAGCTTAAATAGAATAACAATAGAACAGATTCCAAATGTATTATTGTTTAATTGATTTTATTTAGAAAGATTTAACAAATTGCAATTGCTAACTTTCCAGAGATCTTAAATCAAAAAAATGTTAAAGAATTTCAAAATGTAAATATTAATTGCCAAATGAATTAAACTAAATACCTGAAATTACCTTATTTTAAAGTTTTAATGAAATAAGCAATGGTGATCCAAGTATTGAAGCTTTTGCATATAAAAAATTAATCAAATGCATTAGAGATTATAATTAAATCAAAGATTAAAATGAAGAATTCAGGCTGAAACTAAAAATAATCAATAAAAGTCAAGATTTATTAATTTAAGATCAATATTATGAAACATTAAATGAAAATTATCCGAAAATTGCAGCAGAATTACAACAATCTCAATATAATTATAAGAATGATCATTAAATGAAAATTTTGATTTTTCTATAAGATTAATTAGATTAAGTAAAATTTGTTAAATAAATTAGATTCTGGATGGAGATGAAACTTTTTTTTTTTTTTTTTTGAATTAAGGAATTGATTTCTCAATATAGAAATCTATTTAATTTTTATAGAGAGCAAACTAAAGGGAAATAGAGAGTCATTATTAATAATCATAGGGTAGTACAAGTATATTTAAAATAAAGAGTGATTCTTATAAAATAAGTTTAATCTCTATTCAAAAAAATAAATTAGATTTTGAACCTTTGAAAAAAGATAACCTATAATTTTTAACTTTTTATTTTAATGAACAAAACTTTGAAACATAAAAAAATCTAAATACAAGCAATGTTAGTTACAATATTCCTGTTGATAATTCATTAGAATCAATAAGAGTTGCTTTAAAGTTTTTTGCAAAAGAAAAACTTAAAGAATTTTAGCCAAACGTAATAATTTTTTTTTTTGAAATTTCTAATAATAAAATCAAAGATCCTTAAGTTTTTTATGAATTAATTAAATCATTTCATAAAATATCTTAAGGAAAATTAATAATAATACCTAAAATTGATCCATAAATTTTTTCTAATAGAAATGATGCAATTTAATAGTATATTAATTGTACAAATTATTGTTTTTTGGGATGTTTAAAAAATTTGCAAACACACAAGTTAGATTAAAATAGTATCATAAAATATTATGAAAAATTATATCCTTATTTTGTTGAAAAAAATATGGCTTAAAGAAAAGAATTCTATATAAGAGAATTGAAAACACTTTAAATTTAAAGACCAATAGTTAATTTAAAATAATCTAAATAAACTTTGTCTAGAGAATTTCCACTTATTGATAAAGATGGAACTGTTGTTCTTTTAGATATTGAGTAAGATTTTGACATAAATTAAAATTAATATTTTGTAGAGTATAACTAAAATTAAAATCAAGAATATGATGGATTTATAATATTGATTGAAAGCAACAGGATTTAAGTGATTTATTTTGGTGAAAAAAAAATAGTATAAACTTAAAATTCATAAAATTTAAATAATTAAAAATATTAAATCGTGAATAGAAAGCAATTTACTTTACCTTAAAATTTAAATGGTGTATATTTTTTTGATACCGAATAGAATATTTTAATATATTTCTTTGGTTTCTCTGAGAATTAAGAATTTAACAGTGATATTCAATTTCTGGAAATATAAAATTATTAGCCAATATGGGAAATTGTTAAATTTTAAAATTGTAATAAGAAAAAGGAGGATGGTTTTTATTAAGATTTCTAATAGATAATTAAAATAATCAGTGCAAGATAATAATTCTCAGTCACGAAAAATAAAATTGATGGATTTAGTTGTTAAGAGAAGAATTCTTATGTTTGCATTGGAGGGATCTATAATGATGAAAAATACAATTATGGTTGTATTATATAGGAAATAGTTATTGCATTTAAATAAAAAGTTTATTCTACTAAAATTGTGGAAAAATCAAAAATTGATAAATTTTTTAAAGAATGTCCAAATCCCTTGTTAATTAGAATGAATGATGCATTTGTTCTATATTTTGAAAAAAATGGAAATTTTAATATTAACAATATAAATCCCTCTATAACAAAATTATGTTTTTGGAAATCAAGGTAACATTTAATTCAAACTATTAAAATCAATTTTAAAGATACTCAATCTTAACATTCCTTTTTATAACTCCATTAATAATTTTCTTCTCATTAATAAAATATTAGATTATGTCAAATTAATTAATAAGTCGAAAATATATTTAATTTTAGAATATTAATAGAGGATAAAACAATTTAAAAATAGCCCAATTTTTCTGAAAAAAAATTTATCCTTAGAAAATTCTCTGTTATTACAATCTCCATTTTTTCTTTAAAAAATGAAATAATTATTGATTGCAAATAATTTTAAGTCAATTTTCATCCTTTATTAAAAACTATTCAGGATTATTAAGCTGAGGAAAAATAAGAATTATTTTAAAATGTAAAAATTTTGAAAAATTTAGTTAGTAGAAAATTTAAAAAATACATTTATTTTCCATTATAATGAATATGATCATTAATATATTTTATGTTATGTGGATTAGACCAAAAAAGTAGAGTTTAAAAGATTTGTCTTCTATGATTCAAAAACTTAAGAAAATGATGACTTTAGAGATTACTAAGAAATTGTATATTATGATTGGGCATTCTCTAAGTTATATATAACAAGAAAATAAATTACATTTACTGAATGCAATTTAATTATATATGAATGGTAATAAAATAAATTTATATTTAGCTACAATATTAATTTTTAAGATGTAAAAGATTCTTCAGATGACATTTTACACTAAGTTCCAATTCAATAAATATATAAAATATAAGATTTCAAAACTTCTTATCAATTGATTGGGTTTCATGTTGAAATAAAAGAAAATGAGAGTTTTGAAGGAATTATCTTAACTAATAAAAATTAGTATTAAATAATTAATCAAAAAAAAAAAATTAACCATACTTAAAAAAAACATAATTAACCATTAAATCTAAATCCATAATAAAAATTTGTATTTCTTAAATACAAGTAGTCATATTACCTTTTTTATAAAAGATTGTAATTTTAATAAGCAAGTGTTAATAAGGTCTCTCAAAATATCATAGAAATTAAATATTTGTTTTTAGATTCAAATTTTTAATTTATAACTGGAAATACTCTTTTATATCCATTAGATGAACCTTTATCAATTTTAGGGTCTTAAGATGGTACAATAAATAAAATCAAATCATAAGAGAATTTAATTGAAATACAAATTTTGATAAACTAGAATCATGTTATTTTCAAAACATAAATCTTTTGCCAAATTAATTAAGAAACAAACCAATTAGATTAGCTTAATTTGAGTTCATAAATAACTTCAAAGCATGAAGGATTCACTATGTTTCCTTTAATCTAATCAAACAAAAAATAGGGAGATTATATAGTTAAATAATCTAGGGATCATTCAGAATTTTGTAGCGAATGAATGATTTCAATTACACTTATTATAATTAAGTCTATTAGAGTGAACTAAATTTTATGAGGTTTATAAAATTAATTTATTTTACTCTATTAATTTTTCCCAAATTCATTTATATAGGTTATAAAAAATAATAATATGAAAGAAAAGATTTGTAAATTATGTTTTATTAAAAATAATCATAATTGTACTAAATGGTCTACATTGTGCTTTATTTATTTTATCGGCATTTTTTGTGTTTTTGATTTGATCATAATATCCTAACCAACAAAAATTGATTTTATGATCTAAGCTATATTAAATTATTGATTAAGAGTAAACAATTCTAATATATAAATATTAATTACTATTTAATTTTATAACTTGTGTAATTTTCACTTTCTTATAAATCATTTTTATTATCACTGTTGTATTTTAAATTTATTAAATATTCATTTCCAAAATTTAAGGTATATTGTGTAAGTATAAATAAGAACACAATAAAAAAAGTGGAAATTTACTAAATATCCTTTAAAAGCTAATTAAAGATAATTTAACTAAATAAATAAAAATTACTATTAATAAAAACCAAAAATAGTATAATGATACTGTTGGTATCATCATAAGTAAAAAGAATCCTAAAAACATAGAAATTATTTTTTAATCCCATGAAAAAGGATGATCTTCTATTTTATTCCTATATTTATTAATGGATTTATTTTAGGTTATTCGATAAAAACAGATTATCATTCCCCATAATTATCTATATATAACCATCCATAATTTGTAAATGTAATACACATGAATAGTACACAAAGAGATGATATCGATAGCCAGAGACAATTCAAAATTTAATCCGAAAAGTCCAAATATCATAACAGCTCTTAAGAGAATATTTTCATATGGGGTAATAAATGTAGTTATATGATTCCAAAGTAAAATGATTTACATTATCATTTATCCTAAAACATAATTTAAAGGTTTATTAGTTTTAAGTCCTGCAGGAAAACCCATCAACCACTCTACTTCTTTAGATAATACTTCAATATGGATACTTGATCCATATTTATGTAAAAAGTCTCTTAATTAAGTTACATTATAATAAAGTATCAATAAACTTAAAACACCAAATAAAATATCAAGAAAAACAAAAAAAATTCCTGAAAATAATTTATGATAATTATATTTTAAATTAGATGTAAATAAAGGCTAATTTTTTGATACTAATTCTCCTGCTTATTCATTCCATTAATTGAATAAGTTATACTTAAAATTCACTTATTTCATTGTGTAAGATAAGAAACCAAAATCTTATAGATTCTTACCCATAATTTTAAATTCCATAATTTTAATTAAAAAATGAAATACAATATTCTAAAAATAAGTAATTTTAAGAATAATTTTCAATAATGTATTAATATTTTGGTTTTTAAGATAACAATAATAATAGTTAGTCTCTGAATGAGGTATATTATTAATATATTTATAAAATTCTCTTAAAATATGTTACCTCCAATTAATATGTATTAATGAATAATCCAATTCGTTTAACTTGTCTTTATCACAAATTTTAGTAATCTCTTCTTAATGATTTTAGTCAAATGCTATCAAAGGGTTAATTGTTAAAATTGATTTATGATTAGGATCCAAAAAATTATCTATTTCATTTGAAATGATCTAATTTTATATTAGTTTATCATAATAAACTATTGTACACTTTGTTTAATATTTATAGCCACATATCATCAACTCTTCTAATTTATTATTTTTTAACCACAACCAAGTTTCTCTAAATTATTAATCACTTTTTTTTCCAACTATTCCTAATACTTATAGCTTAGTCTAAACTGATAAATATTTAAATTTACTCCACAAATTAGTTAAATTCTATCTTGTTTATCCCAATTGTTTAATATGTTTTCTAATTCTTCAATGCTTTTATTATTTATAATTTGTAATATAGTAAAATTAAATCCTCTTGTGTTGAATCCAATAATGTATCCTTCTTCATTTTATTAATCAGAGGGGAAAAATATTTGGGTACAATCTGTAGACATTTAATAAATATATATATTTATACTCAAATTTCTTAACTATTTACTTAAGTTGGCGTTACTAACTCCTCTAAATTATGTTCAGATTATTAGAAATTAAAACCTCCTTATTCTCTCATATTTATAGATTATTATTAATCAGTCCCTGATGAATTTTTATCATTTTCATTATCACTATCATCATTAAACTAAAATGCTATTTCAGCAATTAACTATTTTTCTTTTTTTTGTTTGTTTTTTCTATTTGGAGTATTGGACTATTTAAGTGTTTTTATTTAACCTTATTACTTTTCTATTTGAGATTAATGAGAATCTGGTATAGCTTCTTGGTCAGCTAAATCAATATGCTAATTCCTTTAAATTGCTTCTGGACTTTTAATTTAGACTTATTATTTTTTGTTACAAAACAATTTTATCAAAATTATTCCTATCAAAGTCAAAAACAATATGAGTCCAACTAAAATTAAAATAGTTAATGCCATAATTTTATTATAAATCAAATGATTAACAGTTTATAATTTTTTATATCTCTTAGACAATTAAAAAACCTAAATTGTGCTTTTAATATTTGTTTGGCTTATTTATGTTGTTGTTAATCTAAAGAATTTGATAATTTCAATTTCATAATTTGCTAACTTTTCTTAAAATAAAAATTAAGTCCATTTTTTACTTGTAAAATATAATCAAAAAATATTCATTAATAATTAAAAGTGATTAAGATTATTTCTAATTCAATGAATATAATACTTTTTCAATAATAAACTAAAATTTAGAAAATAACTTCATAAATTATATTAAATTATATATTTATGATGATAAATCTTTTATATTCTATTTATTAGTTAAAGTTAACATATTGCAAATCATATAATCTAGGAAAATCAAACATTATAATAAAAATTAAAATATATAATTAATATTAAGTTTATATGAACAAAGCAAATCGGCATTCTCCTCGCTACCAAAATTTAAATGATAACAAAAAACAGATATAGCAACTTAATGAATTGGCAATAAGTTAATCTTAGAGAATCAATGAATTTGAAAGAAAACTATAAAATATGTTGAAAAAATTAAATGACTCACAAAGTTTTAATGCAGAATAAATTTCAAACTAAATTTCTGAATTAGAAGATGAAAAAAATGATTCTTAGCTTAATTTATCAGTTCCAGATTATATTTTCAAAAAAACAGATTGCGGTAATTTGATAGATCAAAAAGAAAAATCTGATGATAAAAAGAAAAACATAAATCATAACTAAGAATAGTTTAGTCCAGAATCTATAAGAAATAATTATTAAAGTTAAACATAAAACTCTAAATAGGAATTAGAAACGAATTGTTAAAATTAGAATTAAGATAAAGATTAGCATCTATTTTTATAAAATATAGAATAAAAAGAAGAAATATCTAAAGAAGAAATTTAATTGGATTAAGGAACTGTTTAAGATTATGAATCAGTAAATAGATAAGATGAATTTAATGAAATTTTAATTTATAAAGCTGAAAATAAGGTTTTAAGTGAGGAAAAATAATTAAATCAATAATATATAGAACATGGTGTTTAGAATAATTAAATTCATGAAATTTAAAATTAAATTTAACTAAATCAAAAACAAATTTATAAAATTTATTGCAATCTAATAAAATAGAATTCAAATCAAGAACATAGTATATAGAAATTTATTTATAAAATTATCAATTTACTATAAGAAAAAAATCTTAAGATAATTAAAGTGTTAAATTTAGAGTTAAACAAAATAAATTTAGAATAGAGTATCGGAAGTAATGAAATAGATAAATGTAATTTTTAATTTAATAGACTAATTGAAAAATAAGGATAATAACTCAAAAAAATGGAGTAGGAAATTTAAGAAATTATGTAAGAAAAAATTGATTAAATAATGGCAATAATTAATTAAATTATTGGAGTTTATTAATCCAGAAAATATGATGATTAAATAGATAAGATAATTGATCGAAAAGAATCTATAAGTTATTTACAGTAATTTGAATTTTAGGATGATTTGGAAGTTTCTAGTTAAAAGAATGAATTATTAATTAGATAAGAAGCAAGCAATAATTGGGATTAGAATAGTAATATTAGTGATATTGTAAATAGATCAATTTAAAAAATAAATGATTAATCACTTTCTTAAAATGATGAAAAGGAGAATAATATTCAAAATATATTAAATTAAATTGCAAATCTGCAACAATAAAATAATAAATAAGTAGAAGCACTTAGCACAACAACTATGAAACATAGAAAATCTACTTCAGATTAATTAAAGAATCAATAAGAAAGTAATAATAAATAATAAGTAAATAATATTTAGGAAAATGATCAAGATATAAATAATTGTGTAAATTAAACTTTTTAAGAAATAAATAAATCAATAAATAATAGTGATAATAAGGAATCATAAAATTCATTTAAAAAAATATCGGATATTGGAAATAATATTTTTTAAGAATTTAAAGATGGAAATTAATAATAATATCTAAGGTAGGATCAAGATCTTTGTAGCAGTTTTATTGAAAAAATAAAATATATATGCAACAAATATTAAAATAATAATATTATTGAATTTTTAGATAATAAAATAACTGAATACACAAATGGTTAGGATAATTTTAATACTTAAAATGAAGATAAGTTAATCTAAGAAAATAAAAATAAATTACTAATATAATCTTTAGATTCAAAAGAGGAAATAAAACAATTTAATTTATTAGACGTTAATATTATTAATAATGAACAATGTTAAAATCAAAATGATAATTAAATAAATTAATCAATAAAATAAAAACTGTCAGAATTATAAGATAAAGAAAAATAATAAGATAATCTTTTAGAAGAAAATATTTTGTTTGATTAATATTCAAATAACACTCAAAATACAATTGAGTAGAATTAAGATAAACAAAAAGATAAGTTGAGTAATAAAAATATATAATTTATTGATCTGTAAGAAGAAAATAATAACGAAAATCAATAATTTAATTAAAATTCTAACTAAAATTTGGACGTTGAAACAACTCAACAGATTAATTAAGTTAAATAAAATATATGTTAATCTATTAATAATAATGAAATAGAAAAATTAGGTTATAAGAAAGATAGTTAGAATCAACATTTCCTAAATGATTATTAAATTTAATAAGAGAAACTTAATGATTAAAATAATTTAGAAAAAAAAAATGATGTTAATTCCTGTTAAAGCTTATTAAAATAAGAGAATAATGATTTAAGTAATGGATAATAATCATTGAAGAGTGAAATTAAAGAAATTTCATAAAAAAATAAGGAATTTTGTAATTTAAATAATGAATATCAAGATGTTATAGTTTAGAATTTATAGGAAGTAGATATGAAATAACTGAATAGCGAAAATGAAGAAAAAATCATGAAGGAATAATTAGTAATATTTATAAATGAAGAAAATAGTTAAATAATTAATTTGAACCAAGGAAATATCAATAATTAAGAGGGGATACAAATTATTTAAAATAACCAACATGATGATATATAAAAGGAAAAATAATAAGGTTCATCCGAATCTGATTATTAAAAAGCCGAATTAGAAAAATAATAAAAAGAATAAGATGGCGAATTTACTTAAGAATAAGATAATAAATTTGAAATCTTAAAAAAAGAAAAAAATAATTAAAAAGTTTTACAATAATAAATCATATAGCCTCATGAGCATTTTGACACAAAAGAGGTTAATTTAAATAAAGAATTTTAAGATAAAATCACTTAACAAAAATAATTCATAGAAGATATTTTAAAAAATAATAATGAACTATTAGATTAAAATAAAAAATATGAAGATAAAATATATAAATTAGAGCAATAAATAGAGTTTACAAAACAATATTATAATTAACATATAAATTAAGAATAAACAACAGAAAAAAATGTAGGAATTCAAGATATATATGCTATACAGGTTTAATAAAAAGATGAAATAAAAGATAAGTTAAATAAATAAATGTAAGTTACTCAAACATCAGAAACAGAAAAAGTTAATTTTTATAAAGAATCTATGGGTTAAATAGATTAATAAAAAATATATACTCAAGTATAAAATAATAAATCAGTTGATTAAAGTGATTAAAATGAAGATTAAATAATTAAACTATAATAAGAAATAAATTTGACTTTAGAAAAAAATATAAAATTTAAAATATAAAATTAAGTTATTGAAGATTAAATAGTTCAGCAAAAATAAGAATTGCAAGAATTTAATACTTAAAAATGTGAGAAAAATGAAATTACATTATCATCCATCAAAAAAGCAGATTTATTAAAGGATTATGAAGATTAAATAGCTTAACTAAAAATAACAATAAATGAAATTTAAGTATTGAATGATACATTAGTTAATTAAAATAAATAAAATGAAGATAAAGTAAATAAATTATAATAAGAAATCTAATTGATAAGAGATAAAGTTAAGAAATTTATAATAGAAAATTAAGTAATTGAAGATCAAATATCTCTAAGAAAATATTAATTTTAAAATATCGTAAATAGTGAATAATGTGATTAAATTGAAGATTAATAGGAATCATCAGAAAAAAAATATTAAACAACAAGTACAAATAAGGTTGATTTAAAAAATAATTATGTTCATTTTGAATCTGAGCTAAATATAAAAACAGAAGATATAAAATTATAAAATACCAATATGATTGAATATTTGGAAATTATTTAAGATTAAATAGATTTACAATAATAAGAAAAAGAATAAAATCCCGTAGTCAAGGCTCAATTAAATGTCAGTAAAGAATAATAAAATAAAGTATATGAATAATAATAAGAGATATAAAATATAAAAAATGTTAGATCAATATAGGTGGAAAATAAAATATAAAAAGATGAAATAGTAGAACAATAGTGTAAGAGTTAGGATATGAATTAAATTGACGATAAAGAATAATAAAATGAATAAAGTAAAGAAAAAAAAGAAATATAAGATATTTAAAAGGAAATAATTTTATAAAATAAAAATAAAGAATAAAAAGAATAATTAGATAAATTAATTAAATAAAAAAAAGATAATTAAAAATTCTATGATAGATAATTTGAAAAAAAAGAAGATTAAGAAGATATTCAAGAAGTGAATGAAAAAGTTGAATAAAATAAAGAATAAGAAATTTAATAAGAAAAACTCAATAAAGAAAAATAAGATATTAAAAATGTAAATAAACAATTAGTTCAATAAAATTAAGAATATGAAAATTAATAAAAATAATAAAAATAAGAAATATAAAATTTACCAAAAGTATTAACTTAATAAGATTAAGAAAATGAAAATTAAAATTATCAACCAGATTAATAAAGATAAGAAATATTAGATATCCAAAAAATGAATGAAATTGTTGAAAGAAATAAAGAATAAGAAATTTAATTAGAAAAACTCAATAAAGAAATATAAGATATTAAAAATGTAAATATACAATTAGTTCAATAAAATAAAGAATATGAAAATTAATAAAAATAATAAAAATAGGAAATATAAAATTTACCAAAACCTTTATATTAATAAAATTAAGAAAATGAAAATTAAGACTAACAATTAGATTAACAAAAATAAGAAATATTAGATATCCAAAAAATGAATGAAATTGTTGAAAGAAATAAAGAATAAGAAATTTAATTAGAAAAACTCAATAAAGAAATATAAGATATTAAAAATGTAAATATACAATTAGTTCAATAAAATAAAGAATATGAAAATTAATAAAAATAATAAAAATAGGAAATATAAAATTTACCAAAACCTTTATATTAATAAAATTAAGAAAATGAAAATTAAGACTAACAATTAGATTAACAAAAATAAGAAATATTAGATATCCAAAAAATGAATGAAATTGTTGAAAGAAATAAAGAATAAGAAATTTAATTAGAAAAACTCAATAAAGAAATATAAGATATTAAAAATGTAAATATACAATTAGTTCAATAAAATAAAGAATATGAAAATTAATAAAAATAATAAAAATAGGAAATATAAAATTTACCAAAACCTTTATATTAATAAAATTAAGAAAATGAAAATTAAGACTAACAATTAGATTAACAAAAATAAGAAATATTAGATATCCAAAAAATGAATGAAATTGTTGAAAGAAATAAAGAATAAGAAATTTAATTAGAAAAACTCAATAAAGAAATATAAGATATTAAAAATGTAAATATACAATTAGTTCAATAAAATAAAGAATATGAAAATTAATAAAAATAATAAAAATAGGAAATATAAAATTTACCAAAACCTTTATATTAATAAAATTAAGAAAATGAAAATTAAGACTAACAATTAGATTAACAAAAATAAGAAATATTAGATATCCAAAAAATGAATGAAATTGTTGAAAGAAATAAAGAATAAGAAATTTAATTAGAAAAACTCAATAAAGAAATATAAGATATTAAAAATGTAAATATACAATTAGTTCAATAAAATAAAGAATATGAAAATAAATTAGAATAAAAAAATTAAGAAATATAAAATTTACCAAAAACTTTATATTAATAAAATTAAGAAAATGAAAATTAAGACTAACAATTAGATTAACAAAAATAAGAAATATTAGATATCCAAAAAATGAATGAAATTGTTGAAAGAAATAAAGAATAAGAAATTTAATTAGAAAAACTCAATAAAGAAATATAAGATATTAAAAATGTGAATACACAATTAATTCAATAAAATAAAGAATATGAAAATAAATTAGAATAAAAAAATTAAGAAATTTAAAATTTATCAAAAGTATTAACTTAATAAGATTAAGAAAATGAAAATTAAAATTATCAACCAGATTAACAAAGATAAGAAATATTAGATATCCAAAAAATGAATGAAATTGTTGAAAGAAATAAAGAATAAGAAATTTAATTAGAAAAACTCAATAAAGATATATAAGATATTAAAAGTGTGAATCTACAAATAGGTTTAAAAAGTTAAGAAGATTAAGAAAAATAATTAGCTAAACAAACAGAAGAAATATAAAATCTTCAATAAGTTAAGACACAAATAGATTAAAAAAATAAAGATTAAGAATAATAATTAGCTAAACAAACAGAAGAAATATAAAATCTTCAATAAGTTAAGACACAAATAGATTAAAAAATTAAAGATTAAGAATAATAGTTAACAAAATAAAAAGAAGAAATATAAAATCTTCAAAAAGATAAGACACAATTAAATGAAAAAATTAAAGATTAAGAATAATAATTTGCTAAAAAAACAGAAGAAATATAAAATCTTCAAAATGATAAGACACAATTAAATGAAAAAATTAAAGATTAAGAATAATAATTAGCTAAACAAACATAAGAAATATAAAATCTTCAATAAATTAATACACAAATAGATTAAAAAAATAAAGATTAAGAATAATAATTAGCTAAACAAACAGAAGAAATATAAAATCTTCAATAAGTTAAGACACAAATAGATTAAAAAATTAAAGATTAAGAATAATAGTTAACAAAATAAAAAGAAGAAATATAAAATCTTTAATAAGTTAATACACAAATAGATTAAAAAAATAAAGATTAAGAATAATAATTAGCTAAATAAACAGAAGAAATATAAAATCT